TTTCTCCACCGAGGTGTATGATTTGCACCGGGGAACTGTTATTCCAACAAAATGATTAAATGGCTAATGTAAAAACGGTCTTTGACTGTCCAGGCGGGTGTTTATAACAGATCTACTGCCAGTGAATAAGGACCTATAATGGGAATGATATAACACGAAAAACTGGAGAAGGTGCAGACGTATTAGTAGAGGTTTTTGATGGGGCGTAACTCTAAGCTGAGAACTGGTCAAAATTTGAACTGTCAGCTGAGAAGTGACGCGTTTTTTACTTAGATCTTCAAAATTTCCTGACAGCTGAAAAGTGGGCTGAGGTTTTAACTAATAGCTGAGAAATCGCCGAAATTTTAGTTGACAACTGAGTTTCCAGCAACCCCATCACAGACCCTATATTGGTATACTATCTGGTTTGGAGTACTAACAAACCAACTGCTTNAACTAATAGCTGAGAAATCGCCGAAATTTTAGTTGACAACTGAGTTTCCAGCAACCCCATCACAGACCCTATATTGGTATACTATCTGGTTTGGAGTACTAACAAACCAACTGCTTTCTCGTTAGCTTCGTTTTAAGGAACTACATCGCTCAGAGAGCTATACAGGCAGCAGAAAAAGGAGACTTCTCTGTGGTAAGATGTTTGTCAACAACGGTATATTTCTGCGACACGGGTTGATTCGGTGGGAAATGAGTGACAATTTCTCTTTTTAATCATACATTACTGACAAAATTACGTCGTCATGATTGGCTGAGAGCAGGCAAATTTATCGGTTATTTTTATTTCACACTGCAGTGCAAATTAATTTTTGTCGTCACGCACTAAAACCGCTCGAAGAAGCTTTGGTGGAAGAACTTTGCAAGAGCTGGAAATTTTGCTTTAAGTGCACATGACAGATATATATTTGGTTATCTGCTTGATGGAATCTACATGAGATCATGATATGGAAATCGAAATAAAAATTAGTTGTGGTTGTTTTATCACCGCTTTTTAGCTATCTGGAAACGTGAAATTTCACTTCTTGTTGGGTCCGAAACCGCAAAGGGTTAGGATCTGGGATTAGTCAGGCTGTAACGTCAAAACAAGAATGTAGGTCTACATATATTTCGTAAATGTTTACCTTTTTGTAAAAGTAAATGTACACTTTAAGGTTTCCAAAGCTGTTGGTTTTTCTCAGCACAGTCTTTCATTGTTGATTTTCAGGTGCAAAGTATTCTAAAACGTTTGGAAACACCATACAGTGACGATATGGAAGATGAAGAAGCCAGTTTCTCTCAAACAACAACTGCCGAACCCTCACCATCCTTACCAGATCACAGAGAAAGAACTCTTTTTAAAGTCTACGACAAACACGAAAATTTTCTTGACAAACCACCGGAGGACGTGCTCAATATGCAGCTTTCATGATCCTCGTAAATTGTCGGTTTTGCCCTTAGCAAGTTTGGAAAGTAACGTGTGTTCAGTGTTCTTCTTCTCTGGATCCAGAATCCGGCAGTCTTGCATTCAACTCGGCGGCTTCCGAGTTATGAATCTTTCGTGTTTTGGTGTTTTGTTAGCTTCGCGGATTAGACGTAGACGTAAAGTGGTCAAAAATCTAACTCACAACAAACAAATTAGTTAAGGCGGGCTAGACGGACAAATACTGATTATTTTATTTTTGAAAGGCCATTTGTTGCTTGAGCTAATGACGGTACTAACAGAAACCATATAATTGGTAGTTTGTACCCGATGTGAAGGGTTTGGAATATAATAACTTCATGAGCTGTAGTTTTATATACTGTAATATTGTATAACATTCCATTAGAATAATCAAAATCAAATTTTTCAATTAAATATTCACCATTGCAGTGGAACCTCGCCACTGACCCAACTATTAAGGTGTCTTTCTTCAGTTATTTAAAAACGTGCTTGATAAAAACATTTTCTTCAGCACTATTAATTTTAATAAGTTAATATATTTCGAAATCGTATGGAAGGTAGGCTCGATTTCCAGCCGTTTTGGGAGTCCGGCTGTTGAGGCAAGGAACGCGGGCTCACAAAACGGCTGGAAATTGAGCCTAGATGGAAGGGAGCTTGAGACGAAGCTGCTGAGGCCCCCGGTGGGGAGGGTACTTCCAGAAAAGTTGAGTGGGGGTGTGCGGCCTACTTCCCAAAACCCTCACCTATTTATGACCAAAATCTCCTTTTCTTGCCACCCTGTTTATGACCTGACCAAAAATTCGATAGCCTGTTTATGACCGTTGCAGCTGACACAATTGCCCTAAACATAAGTTATAAAGGGCTTTTGTTGACGGTCTTACTGATATTGAAGAAAGAGTAGCTTCTTCTAAGAAACATGCCCAATTTAAGGCCAGAGTGCAAAAACCATACCATATTTATAACTAAAATGGCGAAAACTGATACCCTATTTATGACCAAAACGGCTGAAAACCCTACCCTTTAGGGCCTCACATACCTTTATAGCCCATATAATGGAGAAACCCCACCCCACCGGGCTGAGGCCATAGACGGGGCTGGGAATGTTGTACTAATGCTTTGTTCAGTGAGGAAACCTATTTGCGGATATGTTAATTTGGCATATGCTCCACATTTCTCCATTAAAAGAAACCAAGGACGCACCTACCAGCTCACCCTTTATTCAGAACAGCCACATGACATTCAAGAAAAAAAAATCGCAAATGCTTCAATAGCTGGTTTTCACATGACGTCTCTAAAATGCAAACTACAAAACTATTGATCTTCCAGAGATTTTACTTTAATGATGTATAAGAGTAGCTGAAAACTAATATTCATACAAATTCTCGTTCCGAATGGGTTCTTGGTTTTGTGATACACTACGCTTGAATTTCTAAGCTTTTGCGTGACGCGGCA